AGAGGATATGGACAGGGGTACAAGAGGGTGGGAAGAAGGGTACGGGTGGGGAAAATGGATTGAACGACTATACAGGACTATTGGAAGGGAATAATACAACTCATCTAGGAAATATGTGGGATTACGGTTCAGTGAGATCCAGTGGTGTATTTAGGTCGTGTGCTGCCCTAGGCAACACAAAAATTGGTGAACCCCCCCACAGAAAGAGCCTGACATTGACCAAGAACACCCCTGCCCTCCACCGGAGCCTTCCACTACCATTGTCCCCCATACACCAGCCAACCTTCTTCCTTCCCTTCTTCCAAGGGGCAGTGCTGCCCCCCCCCCCCCCCGAAAAATGCCACCCTAGGCAAATGCCTTGTTTGTCTTGTGGTAAATACACCCCTGGAGAGATCCATGGAAGTGTTTGTTTTATAAACTCGAGCCTTCAATAAACCTGTTTAGGAATAGGGTACTGTATCATTTAATCAGTGCTTGATCCTCTAATTTTGGCAAGTTCCAGAGCCACCAAGAGTAAATGATTGGATAAACAGAGTGGAAAATATCTATAAGATGGAGAAAATATTTCATATTGAGGAGAATAAATTAGATAAATTTAGAAAAAAAGTGGAGTAGTTGGTTGAATTTTAAAACATCTAAAAAGTATCTGGAATTAGTTGTAGTCTAGGTGGAATACATTAGAGGACGTCTTATGGAGATCCCGAGAGTAAGAAAGGATGTAGGATGGAGGGGTATAGATGGAGAGAGAATCATGAGAGAGGATAAAACGGTAGTAAGAGGATATGGACAGGGGTACAAGAGGGTGGGAAGAAGGGTACGGTAGGGGAAAATGTGTTGCAAAGGGAATTTATGTATCGGTGATGTATTTGTGGTTCTCATGTCCGTTTTATTTTTTATGTATGAGATGTTCTTGTTTGTACTTGAAAAATGTAATAAACAAATGAAAAAAAAATAATAAAAGGTAAAACTTTTTTTAGTTTTGGATGGAGTGGAGATGGATTAACACCCCTGTCAGTTTTTATTGCTGTCTGTGCCCCCATTAGAGAGATTCACCCTATCTATGAGGGTTATTTACTAAAACTGGAGCATGCAAAATCTGGTGCAGCTCTGCATAGAAACCAATCAGCTTCCAGGTTTTATTGCCAAAGCTTAATTGAACAAACTGAAGTTAGAAGCTGATTGGCTATCATGAAAAGCTGCACCAGCTTTAGTAAATCTCCTCCTATGTGTCCTGTTTACTGTTATCATTGAAGGTGAAAGTAAACAAAAATCCTACATTTTGGGTTTTCCCCAGAAAAGTAATGGGGGGAGGGAGAGATTTTCCAATGGGGACACTAGTTCTGATGACCTGGGGGTCCCCAAGGAATTCCCTTCACTTCCTGTTTGGCTATGGGACAGGAAGTGAAGGGAATTCTCCACAATGGGACAAAAAAAAAATCTTGCAGTGGTTACAACCCTACCCAAAATGAAAAAAAAAAGTTTTGCCTATAGTTCTACTTTAACAACAACTATGCAATGCGTGGGTCTAGCAGATTGAATATTGAACGCTTAGGTAAGCCCTTGCACTAACAAGGTGTTGGTAAATCTACAACTGACCATACGTTATACAACCTAATTGTACAATTTCTTTTAGATCTGCTAACAACTATGTAAATTAAAGCTGGCCATATACTATGCAATCTGATTGTACAATCTCTTTTAGAGTTACCAAACTGTACAAAAATAAACTTTTTGTAGGTCAAACCTACAAAATGTTTTCAATTTGGATTCAATCAGGCAGGCACTTCAACTACATAGCTGATGGTAGAGCTAAAGGAGATTGTGCAATCAGACTGTATAGTGTATGGCCAGCCTAATGGATGCAAACTGAAGATCACATATTTTATGTAAAATTTAAGAAGAATGTACCGAGATTATACAAAACGGATTGTAGCATGTATGGTCATCCTAAAACGTCATTAAACTGACATTGTCCAATTAGATTGTAGTATGTATGGCCAGGTGAAAGGGGTTATAAGTATGGTGAAAAACAATCGCTATGTGCTAGATTCATTTGACATATCAAAAAAATCTGATTGATACAGTATACAGTATAGTATAGTAACTACACATTTGCACAATCAAAGTCTCCCTAATGTTGGTTATATGAACAACAATCAACGATCAGAGATTTAATACAAGAAGGAGAAACCATTCATTTGGCATAAATGATTTCTGAAAGAAACAACGATTTCATTCAAGTGATCAATATATAGAAGGAGTGTATTGTATGTGTATGGCCAGCTGAAAGATGTCCATGGGCATGAGAGGGCAGTCAGAGGACCTCCTTGCCAAGCAATCACACTTCAGAGTGAGCGCTCTATAAACATGCACTGTTGTACCAGCTGAGCATGAATTGTATGCCAAGAAAATCTAAGCCAGCTGCTGGGCAGTGTCTTCAGAATTCCTAATCTGCCCACTCTTTTATATCTAATTGCCTCAAGACCCCAATGAAATCACACAGATCATATAGTAAGTATCCCGTGTCTATGGGCATCCAAACACCTAATAAACCTCAATACTTCACATTGTAATGTTTACATTTTAGGGGTATGTTTATAAAGGTTGGGCAAATTCATACACATTCACTGCACATTTGCAGGCAGCATTATTCAGTATTTGTACAGCTAGCCAGGGAACATTGCATTTGGGGTCATTAGAGGATGATTGGATTTGCCAGCTTGGAGCGTTCGTATCTTTTCAGAGAAAGTATTACTCGCAACTTTGAAAATGTGGAGAATGTTGCAGAAGTTGGCATTTGAAGTGAACCTGTGATTGGAGACATATGTAGGCTGCCGCGGCTGATCTCTTTTTTTGAAAATACTACTTGACTATCTGCCATGCTTATCCTCTTTCTTTATAGTCCAAGGGGTTACAAAAAACTACCTTTGCATTGGGGCCCCCTGCAATGCAAGGATTAAATGCTCATTAAAAGAGAAGTATGTCCAATAGAGAACACTCCCATTGCAGTAAGCAACCACAGAGTACCACTCTTTAGAAAATAATGGGAGTCTTGACTGACAGTATGGCCCCTTTCACACGAGCGTTCAGTTTCTTCATCAGTTCAGTCATGTTTTTTCCACGAAAAAATTGTTCAGTTTACGTCAGTTTTTCATCCGTTCACATCAATTTTCATCAGTTTACATCCATTTTTCATCAGTTTACATCTGTTTTTTGGCCATTTACATCCGTCTATGTCCATTTACATCCATTTTTTGTTCATTTAAATGTTTTTGTCCATTTACATCCATTTTTCATCTGTTTACATCCATTTTTGTCCGTTTACATCCATTTTTCGTCCATCTACATCCGTTTTCATCCATTTTTGTCCGTTTACACGTTTGTGTCCATTTACATCCATTTTCATCCGTTTACATCCATTTTTGTCCATTTACATCAGTTTTTCGTCCATTTACATCTGTTTTCATCCATTTTTTGTCCATTTACATGTTTTTGTCCATTTACATCCATTTTCCATCCATTTACATCCATTTTTGTCTGTTTACATCCTTTTTTGTCTGTTTACATCCTTTTTTGTCTGTTTACATCCTTTTTTGTTCGTTTACATAAATGTTTGTCCGTTTACATGTGTTTGTTCATTTACATCAGTTTTTCATCTGTTTATATCCATTTTTGTCCATTTACATCCGTTTAAATCCTATTTTGTCCATTTACATCTGTTTTTCATCCGTTCCGTTTTTTTTTTAACGTAGGAAAAGTAAGTAAGCGCTGCAGGTTACTTATCCGTTTTCATCTATTTTTTGTCCATTTACATGCTTTTTTCCATTTACATCCATTTTTCATCCATTTACATCCATTTTTGTCTGTTTACATCCTTTTTTGTCCATTTACATCAATTTTTGTCCGTTTGCATGTTTGTTCATTTACATCAATTTTTCATCTGTTTACATCCATTTTTGTCCGTTTACATCCGTTTAAATCTATTTTTGTCCGTTTACATCCGTTTTTTTTTAACAGAGGAAAAATAAGTAAGCGCTGCAGGTTCAGAGTGGAGACAGTCAACGATCTCCGTTCTGAGCAGATTGGGAACTGAGCGATCAGTGGGAGCAGATGTGGGACAGCTGCAGCATCACACCAATGCTACAGCATATAGGTGAGTATGAAGGTTTGTTTTTTTTTATTGTAACGCAATGCATTAAAAGCGTGATAAAAATTCAACATTTATAAATAAATAAATACATGTGTTTTCAAAAGACACATATCACATTTTCTAATGCATGATTGTGAATGGGCCCCAACTCCTTATTCCTCACCCCTTATAGTGAAATGAGCATTTAATTCTTGCATGGGTAATTGTTTTGTAATTCCTGAAGTTGGGCTTTAATACTTTATCATTCAGTGACGTGGAACAAGCCTGTAGAGCGTCAATGTAGACTTTATGTGTCTTTAATATCAAAGAAAGAAGATGCTGCTGAATCTCATTATTCGTCAGTGATCAATGACCTCGAATGTCCTTTATAAATCAAACCAGTGTTTTTTTGGTAAATGTCTGCAAACACACCATTCAGACTTTTAAAACTAGATCTCTAAGTCTGTAAATATTTATCAACTATAATATTATAATAAAATTTGTAATTGTAAGTTCTCATACAAAGTAAAATATGAGTGTCCTAGCTGGTGGGAATAAGTAGTACATGGTGCAGTACATATTTTCTGGGGGAGACAGCAGGGGATGCAGAGGGGAGGGAAGATGAAGACAGTGAGCCTAGGGAATAGGTGGGGAGGAGCTGAAATAACATGGATAGACTCCTGATTGATGTCAGTGGGTGGCCTTTTGCCTTTAATTTGTCTTTCTGGGGGTGGGGAGTTCGGGGGATTCTTTAAAGAACTTGAGTGAAGGCTGTTTTCATATCTCAGGTCAGAGCACAGACACACTACAGAGCCTGGAATCTACTGCTTGCACAAGTTCACAATCCTCATCTGCCTCTCAGCTTTCAGCAATGGCCAGCTATGAGGATGAAATTCAAAATAATGAGACAGATTATTTTTACTATGATAACCCAAATGGAACTGAAGATTGTATGGAAAAGGACTGGGACCTGTCATCCTCTTTGCTACCTGTATTTTACATGATCGTCTTTGTCTTGGGACTGTCTGGAAATGGTGTAGTCATCTTCACAGTATGGAAAGCAAAGCCAAAGAGGAGATCTGCAGACACCTATATAGGTAATCTTGCCATTGCTGACCTGGCATTTGTTGTCACCTTACCCTTATGGGCTACCTACACTGCTCTTGGCTTTCACTGGCCCTTTGGTTCTGCCCTTTGCAAGATCAGTAGCTACCTGGTGTTGCTGAATATGTTTGCCAGCGTTTTCTGCCTAACCTGTCTGAGCTTTGACAGATATCTGGCCATTGTTCACTCGCTCTCCAGCGCCAACCTGCGCTCCCGGTCAACAACAATGCTATCCCTGGGAATTATATGGTTCTTTTCAGGGTTTCTGGCACTACCCAGTCTCATTCTCCGTGAAACCCGTCCTGATGGCAATAAGACTGTCTGTGACCTGGACTTCACTGGCATCTCTGAAAAGGAGAACGAGAATTACTGGATTGGAGGACTCAGCCTCCTCACCACCGTGCCAGGCTTTCTACTTCCGCTGCTCCTCATGACCACATTCTACTGCTTCATTGGCTGCAAGGTAACCGTCCACTTCCAGAACCTCAAGAAAGAAGAGCAAAAGAAGAGAAGGCTTCTAAAGATAATCATCACACTTGTTGTTGTGTTTGCTATTTGTTGGTTGCCATTTCATATTCTCAAAACCATCCACACCCTGGGGCTCATAGGTGCTCTGGACCTTTCCTGCTCACAGTTTAACCTGATCCTCAGCCTGCACCCTTATGCCACATGTCTGGCATACATCAACAGCTGCCTCAACCCATTCCTCTACGCGTTCTTCGATCTTCGGTTCCGCTCACAGTGTTTTTTTTTTTTTGGACTTAGTAAAACCTTCCATGGACAAATCAGCAACACCTCCTCCAGCCTGAGCGCTCAAACACAAAAATCGGAATTACACTCTTTGGCAACTAAAGTGTAATTAAGAGAGTAGAGAGGATGGACATGAAAATTAAAGACTGTTCTTATGAGACTTTGGAGGCTAATTAAACTTATCTCTGCGCTGGTAGAGCATCTGCTGATAAAGGAACAGTCTGCTGGACTTTACTCTGGAGCCTGGAACATCTTATTGATGCCTCTTTTGCTTGCACTGGAAATAAAAGACAGAACGCACTGTCTCTGGGACATCAAAGTCTTGTTCTGTCTCTCTCTGTGGTACAGGAGAGCTGGAAGGATGGGACAAGATAAGCCGTTGAGTTTAACATTCATTTTTCACATAACCTCTATAATGATAATAGCCAGAAAATACAGTATTATACTGATTAATTCTTAGTACTTTGTGCATTACTTTAGAGACTTTAATTCTGTGTATATTTGGCTTTTTTAAGCACTTGTATAATGTTATAGAGCTTATATCTAACACACTGTTAATGGAATATGTGGGATTTATAAACTGAAATGACAAATGCTATAAATTGTTTTATTCTACGTTGTTATTCAGTGTTGAATCCATTCTGTTGCAGACAAATGTTAAAACTGCCGGCATTGAAGGGGTTAAATACCAGCTGGGTTTGTTAACCTCTTAGTTGATAAAAGGCAAGCATCTCCTTGCAGGGCAATGTACTGCTGGTCTCTCTGTTAAGTGCCTTTGACTCTAGAGGTGTTGGCCAATCTCTGGCTCTCCAGCTGATGTAGAACTAGAAGGACCAGCTTGGTCAGCCCGTTCATGACTGGAATCTGTATTTCTCCAGCAGCTGTAGAGCTGTATGTTATCCAACACTAGAATATGTAGATATGTATATAAATAAATGAATGAGTATAACATATCCCCTCGGAGAGGGGCATTCGTTGACAAGGGTTGGTATACTTTTGTAATATGATGCAATAAAATTCTTGTACTTACTAAAAAATGCTGTTGTGTGTTTAATTCAAACCATAAAGAAGTCAAATGATATGAACTGTATCAGCAAGTGTAACTTTTACTCTTTCAAAAAATAATGATTTGAATAATTAATACATAAAGAGGAAATAAGATATTAAACCATACAGTATAAGTTAACTATCCCCTGTAATAACCATAATAAAACTGAATATGTTACAAACTAAATTAACATTTTGTATTATTATTATTTATATTATTAATAAATGAATTAAACATTTTGATAACAATATCTCTGAAAAGACTGTGAGGTGTGCCCACGTATAAAACGAGATGTGTTTATCGGGAACAGTTGATGTAGATGTTTCTTAATTGAAATAATGTACAATGCACAACTTATTACTATACATTTGCTAAGGGCTCCTTCAAACCACTTCAGTAGAGCTGCGTAGATCAAAGCAGGCTCAAAGCCAGGACACATAGAAAACAATTTTCTATGTACCTGTACACACCACAACACTGCCTTGATCTGGTTTGCTTAAAAATGCACCACACTTCACCTCATGTCACATGCAGCCCAAGTCAGACTGGATGATGATATTAATGTCTATGTCTATTAGACTGAATCAGACAAACCTGGCCAACCAGGATTTGGGAAACTTTTTGATCAACTTGTTTTCACCAGCTGATAACTAGGATTCCCTTCCCAACCACCCCCAAGAAAACCGGATTCTAGAGGTGTTTAACTACTCTACAAAATGATCTTCCAAAGAGAGGATTGTGTCCTTTTGAACCCCGCTTTCTCCCCAGAGTCTGTGTGCATCAGACTACCCTATGATAAAGGGGCCTGCACGTCTGTTCACCTATGATCTATGATATCTTTTACAAAAAATCGAGTACAGTCCTTAATACATTTTTTATTTGCACTGACTTCCAGATTTTCAGGACAAGCTTTCGAGATGTACCCTCCTCTTCAAGGTCCAAGCAGTAGTCAGTGAATGTTAGTGAAAATAATAAAGTATCAGAGAATACTCAGTTGTTTTTCTTGCAATTGCACTGATTTGGCTACAATCACCTGAAGAAACTTATGTAGGAATCTCATGACACACCCTGAGGTTATAGGGTGAACGTCGTAAAGACTAGTATAGCATACTGTCTATTACTTGAACTTGCATGGTGGTTAAGTGGTTGGCATTCTTGACTTGCATCTCTTGGATATGGGGCTTGACACCTATAAAAGATGCTATCTGAATGACGTTTTTATGTTCTAGTTTCCTTGGACATGGGTTTGATGTCCACAAAAACACACTATCTAGATACCATTTTTATGTTCTCCTAGTTTCCTAGGATATGGGGTTTGATGTCCACAAAAGACAGTGGGGGTCATTTACTAAAACTGAAAAGTGCAAAATCTGGTGCAGCTCTGCATAGAACCCAATCAGCTTCCAGGTTTTATTGCCAAAGATTAATTGAACAAGCTGAAGGTAGAAGCTGATTGGCTACAATGCACAGTTGCGCCAGATTGAGTGCACCAGATTTAGTAAACCCCCCCCCATTATCTGGATACTGTTTTTATGTTCTACTAGTTTTTTGGGACATGGGGTTTGATGTCCACAAAAGACACTATCAGGATAACATTTTTTAGGTTCTCCTAGTTTCCTGGGACATAGGGTTTGATGTCCACCAAAGACACTATCAGGATAAAATGTTTTCTGTTCTCCTTGTTTCCTGGGACATGGGGTTTGATGTCCACAAAAGACACTATCTGGATACCGTTTTTAATGTTCTAGATTCCCATGGGTGTTGATCAGAATCATTCTAGTAGGTAAACTGGCCCTACTATGTGTTTGTGTATGGGCTACTGTAATAAAGACATCCAATTTGATGGATTCACCTTCTCTATAAAGTGCCAATGAACATTTGACAGCAATATATAAGCTCGAAAGAGCAGGGCCCTCGATCCCCTCATGTTTTGCATTGTATTGGTATTGTTCTGTCACATGTTCTGTCCCCCTTTGTAATGTACAGCGCTGAGTGAACTATTGGCGCTTTATAAATACTGTATAATAATAATATATACAGTCTAATGCCCCTACCAAAGTCATACAGAAACACCTACGCACTAGGGTCATTTGGTGTCAAATTCAATTAACTGTATGTTTTGAGATGTGGAAAGAAAAAGATGGGAACCCACCCAAGTAGTGTGCAAAAACTCCACACAGATAGTTTTCCTTCTAGGAAATGAACGCAGAACATCAGAGATACAAGGCCAAAATGATAATAATTTTCACCAGTACTTTGCAACATCAACATAATGTACAAGACAATGCAATAACTGCATACACCATAAGATCACACAACCACATATTTCTCCAGCTGTTTAGCTAGATAATCTATGCAGCCTGCTAATCTGCCTATTTATTGGCACCATGACCCATTGCAGTGCTCACATCTGTTTACCCAGGACCAGAGCAATTTAAACATTTCAGCTAAGGGCCTACTGATATGGCTTTACATGATAAAATTTCATTGACAACTTACCAGTCTTTGGATGTGGTGGCTGCATTTGTTTTCTTTTTTTCAAACTTTTTCCTTTTATTTTCACCTGATGATTCTGCCAGTAACATGCTTCCTGTCTAGCGTGACAATGCAGTACATCACTGTACTGTATATATAGAGAAACAGCATTGTCACCAGAACTACAGATCACCTCTCCATCTCCATAACATGGGAAAGGTGTTTTGTAGCCCACAGAATAGCTGGGAACAAATGTTAACTGATAATAGTCAGCAGTCAAAGAGGCAAGAAAAGCTTACTAAAAAAAGAATCAGCTTGATAAATTTCTGGCAGGATCAAAAGGTATATTTTTTGCACTTATCAAACAGATACAATAAAAATGCTTTCAATTGTATATTTAACAGACAAAAAGGGAGCATATTAGAGAAGTTCATTGTTGGGATTTACATACACTTTAATAGTTTAAAGGCATATTAAGGGCTCGTTCAAATTAACGGCCTGCCTTAGCACAACCTGTGCTACAACATGCATACTGCTGTAACTTGTAGTGACATAGAGGTGAGAGCTAGGAACCACAGTATACATGGGGGGGTTACAGGCATCTGACACTCCTGGAAGTGTGGAATGCTAAAGGAGGCTGATACTTGCCTTAAATTATTCAATTTTCGAACAAAGATTTGTAAAAAAAAAAAAAAATTAATACGAACATTCATTTGAAAGCTCTCAGCGCAGTTGAAGACTTGATTAATGATGGGCAGAACAGTGGCTAAATGGTTCGCACTTCCACCTGGCAGTACTAGGGTCATTGGTTCAAATCCCAACCACGGCACCACCTGCCTGGAGTTTGCATGTTCTGCCTGCATGGGTTTCCTCCAGGTACTCCGGTTTCCTCCTATACTCCAAAGACAAGTTGGTAGGTTACTTGGATCCTGTCTAAATTGGCCCTAGTATGTGTATGTATGGATGTGAGTTAGGGACCTTAGATTGTACACCCCTTGAGGGTTAGGGACTGATGTGAATGTACAATATATATGTAAAGCGCTGTATAAATTGATGGCGTTATATAAGTACCTGAAATAAATAAAATAAATGTGTGTTCAAAAGTACTTCAAAATTACATTTGCTTTTAACAGTTGATTTTGAGATGAATGGACCTTCCTGAAGGAAAATCACATTCACTGTTAGAAATTAATTTGAGAAAAATTTTCCATCCTGCTGCTTCGAATCTTCCCATCACTGCAGTCAAAAAGGAACATTGATTTGACCTGAGTAACAATTCGAAAATTGACCAAACGCTCCTGAAATGCAGACATTTGAATGAAATTCTGCAAGCGTATGGCCAGCCTTAGGCTGGCCATACACTATACAATTTTCTCTTTAGATTTACCTTCAACTGTGTAGTGTAAGGGCCTGCCTAATTGGATACAACTGAAAGTGTTGGTTGGGTTTGACATCCTATTGCCGTATATACTCGAGTATAAGCCGACCCGAATATAAGCCGAGGTACCTAATTTTACCACAAAAAACTGGGAAAAACTATTGACTCGAGTATAAGCCGAGGGTGGGAAATGAGGCACCTACTAGTC